ACCATTGGAACTCAACAGGAAAATTGCATAACAGAGAAACAGCGACCGGTAATAAGTTTCTCATCATTCCTGTTTCGTATTATATTTTGTTTATTTCGAATACTTCTTCAAAATTAACTATTTGTTATGGAAGGCGATATATCATAGAACGAACATTTTTCGATAGTCATTTTGAATCAATCAATCAATCAATCATCAAACATTACAGTTTCATAACAATGTGAGTGCAGGCGGAAGTAAGAGATGTGAAAATAAAAATTGTGGAACGAAACTATGAAATATAAAATATCTTCTTCAGAAAACATAGTCACCTAATTCATGTCTCAATGGAGTTTCGACAGGCACCCTTACGAAAGGAAAGTATCAACCCTTAGCATCGGTAAACCCTCGTTGCAACCGGGGTAGGCGCCTAATGAGTTAGGTGGTATATGCAGTGCTGTTTCTCATTAAAGAGAAAATTTATGGCTATCTGTTCAGTTCATTTTTTGAGTAATAAAAAAATATGTCGTGTTTTAGCAATGGAATTTGAAAAAGTTTTTGATAGTCTCCTTAATGTCTCATTAGAGAAACGACAGGTACCCTTACGAGGGGAGAGTATCAACCCTTGGCATCGGTAAACCCTCGTTGCAACCGGGGTAGGCGCCTGATGGGTTAGGTATATTCCATATGTAACTTTCATGATTTTAATTCTCAATATATTTCGAATTCAAGATATAATACCAACTATGTTTTAGATCGATGAAGCGACGTGTTATTAATCGACGGAAAAATTGTACAGAAGAGAAAAACCAGACCAGGAACCAGCGACCGGTGATAAGATTTTCATTCCTATTTACGAATTATATTCAATCGTTCCGAATATTTCTTCCAAATTTTATAATTGTTATGGAAGGCGATATATCATAGAGCATTTTTCAGTAGTCACCTTTATGTCTCAATGGAGACACGACAGGTACCCTTACGAGGGGAGAGTATCAACCCTTGGCATCGGTAAACCCTCGTTGCAACCGGGGTAGGCGCCTGATGGGTTAGGTATATACAGTGTTTCTCATTTAAGAGAAAATTGTTGGCTATCAGTCCAGTTCATAGAAGAATATGTCGCGTTTCAGCAACGGAATTTGAAAAAAGTTTTCATATATATATTTCAGTTTCTTATTCCATGTAACTTTCATGATTTTAATTCTCAATATATTTCAAATTCGAGATATAATACCAACTATGTTTTAGATCGAAGAGGCGAAGTGTTATTAATCGATGGAAAAATTATACAGAAGAGGAAACCAGACCGGAAACCAGCGACCAGTGATAAGTTTTTCATTACTATTTACGAATTAAATTCAATTAATCTTGAATATTTCTTAAAAATTTTATATTTGTTATGGAAGGCGATATATCATTGAACATTTTTATTGTTGGATATCTGATCAGTTCATTTTTTGAGTAATAGTAGAATATGTCGCGTTTCAGAAACGGAATTTTCAAAGCAGTTTTCATATATATTTCAGTTTCTCATTCCATGTGACTTTCATAATTTCAATTCTCAATTAATCAAACATTCGAGATTTAATTCCAACTATGTTTTAGATCAACGAAGAACCGTGCTATGAATCGATCCAAGCCCAATGGAAGAATGGCACAGAACAGAAACCAGCGACGGGTGATGAATTTTCCATTCTTGCATTTTGTGAATTCTGCATTGTTATAATATTAGTGAATAAAGAAATAAAAGAAAAGAGGGAGGTGAAATAAATTTTCAAAATTATGTTTTCGAAAGGCAGGCCGAAAGGCAGATACTTTGATGAATCAAGTTAAGTTCATGATTTCAGTATAGTAGTAGTCGAATTGTTAATAAGAGAAACTGTTCAGGAGCCTACATTCTAGTAGGGGTGGTGGTGGGACCATCATCTCCCTTTCTTCTAAGTCACCTTTATGTCTCAATTGAGACACGATAGGTAACAGAATTTGAAAATGGTTCTCCTACATATTTCAGTTTCATATTCCATGTGACTCGTATAATTTCAATTCCCAATTCATTTGAAATTCGATATTGATTATAGACTATGTTTTAGATCGAAGAAGCAACGTGTTATGAATCGATTATTCAAACCTAACGAAAAAATAGCACAGAAGAGGAAACCAGATCAGAAACCAGTGACCGGTGATGAGTTTCCCATTCCTATTTCCTATTATATTCAATTTCTTTCGAATATTTCTTCAAAATTTTATATTTGTTATGGAAGGCGATAGTGAATCAAAAGTTGAGATAGACAGCTAGCCGTTTGAATCAATAATGAATACTTTCGACACAAAAACATCCTAAAGTCGAAAAATCTCCTGCTAGACCCCAACTGTGATGCATTGATGAAATCAGCTCTTCAGGGAGAATCTAAAAATGCAATGAAATACACAGTGAAACACGTTGTATACATACATCATATCACTTACTGAAATTCTATTTATTTCAAATATTTCTTCAAAATTTCTATTTATTACGGAAGATGATATACGTATATTATGGTATTTTCCGATAGTCATCTTCATATTCATTTCCACTGAGTGGAATTCATTAGTTAACCTGTTATTATGATTTTTTTATTTATATAATTTTTTCTTGAGGGTAATAAGGACTATCAATCAACCAACTAATCAATCAATCAATCAATATTGTTCATGTCTCAATGGAGTCATGGAACGGTACCCAAATTTCAGCAACAAAATTTACGAACAGATCTCCAATATATTTCAGTTTCTTATTCTATGTAACTCATAAAATTTCGATTTTCAATTTCTCAAACCTTCAAGATTTGCTACAAACTATGGTGTAGTTCGATGAAGCACCATATTATAAATCAATCCAAAATTAGGGAGAACATTGTTGATTATTTGTTTTGTTCAATTCTTGGGTAAGATAAAAATATGTCGCATTTCAGCAACGGAATTTGAAAACAGTTTTCGTATTTTTTTCAGTTTCTTATTCAATGTAACTTTCATAATTTCAATCTCCAATTTATTCAAGATAGGAGATTTAATACCAACTATGTTTTAGATCAAAGAAGCACCGTGTTTTAAATCGACCATTTAGGCCCAACAGAAAAATTGTACAAAAGAGGAAACCAGGCCATAAACCAGCGACCGGTGATGATGTTTCCATTATTGTTACGAATTATATTCAATTTATTTCGAGTATCCGTGGTGTTACTGAGATACTAAGCAATTGGATCTCGCTGATTTCTGACCTAATTGTAATCAAAAGTATTGTGAGCACTCATGTGGATACTTCTAATAGTTTTTGTTTATACCGAGCTTTAGTGCTCGGTTCCATTCTATTTCTATCGACTTACTGAAATGAAAATGGATGAAGGTGAAGTATCTGTCCTTTACTGTAATAATAACTCATAGGGGTGGAGTAAAATTCCTGATCCACTTGAAACACACTGATGAAACAACCTACAACCACGGAAATTGAAATGCATTACCAGTTACTGTTGTCCATGCATGGACCGATGCTCTTTCAGAACTTCTTTGCTTGTTGTGGTCAGGCTACTGTGGTCAGACCTGCCGCTGAACGTAGCCCAGGTAAAACTCACAATAGGTTTGTTCGCGTTCAAGATATAAACAGTCCGAAACCATCAGAAGCATGCGCAGTTCCACAGAACTTGAAAAATTACTACTGTTCTGTGAAATTGCGCATGCTCCTGATGGTTTCGGACTGTTTATATCTTCAACGCGAACAAGCCTATCACTTTTACACTTGTTAGTTCTGACTTGTGATGGAGTTTGATATGTTAATTTTTTTGATGACGTGGAGACACAGGCAGATGTTGCCAGGTCTCTATGAAATCTAATCATATAATGACAATGAACTACCATCTACTGGCATGATTGAAAACAAATCTCTAGACGAAATACTTAGCGACATTCAGAACATGATTTGTACTTTGATTTTGAAAAATTGGTTTCTTGAAGAGAGTAAAAATACTGAGATATTCAAAACTTTCAGCAAATAGCACTACAGTAAAACAGCACCCATCATATCATACCACGTGATAAAGACACCACAAATGTCGACGACCCAGAAATGGTATTCCATATTTCAATTCCTGGAATGACACACATCAAAAAATTGTACAAAAAAAATGAAAGCAAAATAAATAACATCAAATCAATTTCATTCCATTGTATCATAGAGATTTCTTGCTTGAAAACGGCGACACTGCGATTTTAGTAGCTATTGCGTAGCGGTGTTGCCACAAAAGTAGTCTGTATTAGGGTAGTTCACATAATTTTCATTGATTATATATGAGATTCCTGGTCAGTTCGAGATGTGCAAAAAGCCCTAGACAATTCAGACCAACCACTGATAATTATTATAAATTTATGAGTTATGGTAAGGTACATCACGAAATAGAAAATATGAATTATTTAAATATGAACGTGGCGACACCGCAGTTTCATGGTAGAGATGTAATAATCGTTGTAAGAAGTGCCATTTGTCGTTCTTGTTGTTATTAATGATTTTGCGGCTGTTGTGTGATTCGTTGTCTGTGTTTCAGTAACTCAATTAATATTATAAATCTAAAGCAGACTATTTTGTGAATAAATATTTTGCGGCAATGTCAAATCTGTGATGAAAAGTTCGTTACAAATATCCTAACCTGAAATTAAACAGAAATGTTGAAATTTGGTACAGTGACGGTCTTTTTTGAGGGCTTGTTTTGTTGATGAAAAGCGTGTTTGCAAAATTGAAAGTATCAAATATCCTCATTGTGCAGTTACAAAATGACGTTTTATAATTTTTTAATGCACATAAACACACTTATCTATGAAGAATATCAATTCTCTGGCAATGATTCTGCAGAGTTACCTTCACCATTCACGATTTCATTCATTTATCCGTGTTTAGCGTTTCGGATTGTTGGCGTATACTCTTCAACCATTCATGATTGAATCTATCAATTGTTATTCGGTCTGAGAATGAGATGATATTCTCTCTCACTCACCCTCCAACTCCTCCAAGCGGACGCGATGACGAGCTGGCTGCGCCTCATCCTCTGGTACCGCCTCTTTGCCTCGTAGCCCCGCCACGTCTTCTGCACTAGCACGGCTAAATCCTGCAGCCGAGCCTTCCGGAAATCCTCCAGCTCGAACACCGTCCTTGGGCTCCTGACGAACAGCTTGCTCCTGCCGAAGGTGAATTCAGCACTTGGAATAGGCAGGAACCTTGAAGATAATAGATCTTGTTGACAAAACATGAAATATTCATATTATAATACTTGCCGAAGAATTATAAGAAACATAACCTGTTTAGTAATTAAATGATCCTACAAATGTTTGGTACTCATATTACCCTATATGTAGTATAAGAGATTTCCATTTGTTGTTAACAAAATACGTTTTGTTGAAACATAAAATTTATTAATACAACATTATTCAACAACAACATTATTCAGGTCATCAGCCTGAGAGACTCGAACCTCCTAATAGAATCAATGATTAAAAAAGGATTGCAATTCTCACATCCATCTTTATTTCATCATCATATCCGTACAATTCATCATGTATCGAATACATTGGTCCTTCGAGCCAGGAATATTCAAATCAAACTTTCAAAGACTGCCAAGATCTCCACGAAGGATATAGAGCAGCACTCAAGACTACCTCGAGTAACAATGAACGCCCAGCTGCTGGAGATTTCCCAGGTGGCAACAAGCAGTTCAAGCGAACATGAACAACAAAATTTCACAAAAAAAAACGGTAGAAGACGCCTCATTCTTTGGAACCGCCTCTTGGTCTCGTACCCTCGCCAAGTCTTCTGAACCAGCATGACCAAGTCTTGCAAACGAGGAAGGGATTCCAATGAGAAATGACAAAATTTCGGAATGAAAACTATACGTGATTGAGTATAGTACTTTTAGATCACAATTAATCACAATGTACCTACCAGAAAAATCGGATTCCTTTGTCTCTTGCTGAATTTTTTGTGCATTGTACAACAGCATAATGCGATGGCATGTTTGAATTAATGAATAGCCAAAAAAACACAACTCGTATTTGTATGTCAAAATATTTGGGAAAAACTATGTCAATCCTTTGTAAACAAATAAGAAAAGTAAGGTTGTGTTTCAATCCTTTACCTCCAGGGTCGGTCATCTGACAGATCTTGCACGCATCCCATACATCTAAGAATATGTTTTTTTATCATGTTCTGGTTCCCATGAAAAGGGATATCCTGTAATATTTCAGAAAAGCATCGTCAATGAAAATATATATAAAATAGAGCCAGATCGCCAACTTATCTACGGTGTTCCAGATAAGTGAGCGAGTTTGTGAGCGAGGCATCACCCACGAGACGAATTGCTCTTTTTTGGACAGAATCCAACAGTTTCAGGTTATGTTTGGGTGCTGCCCTCCAAATATGGGAATAGTATTCCAGGACAGGTCGGATCTGCGCCTTATAGATCATAAGTAGCTGACTGGAAGTGAAATAGCTCATGACCCGAAAAACCAAGTTTTTGGGATGCACTTTTAGCAATTGATCTCACGTGATTTTCCCAAGAAAGGTTATTGCTGATAGTAATACGAAGCATCGAAATGGATGTCTTCAAAGGTATGGTTACTCCTGACAAGCTTATGTTGGGCCCAGTGAGAAGGGCTTTTCTAGAGAAAAGGCATGCTTGTGTTTTGTTTGCATTAAAATCTACCAAGTTATTGGATCTCCATTCGAGAATTGTTGCCAAGTCCATATTTATGTTGTCAACATTTCTCCCTCGTTCGTTTCTGATTTGCCTGGCTGGTATTGGAGCCCTGGAAGAGAAGGCGGTATGGAGGGTACTATCATCCGCGAAGCTGTGTACTGGACATGAAGTTGCTTCCAAAAAATCGTTGATATGGAGTAGAAATAGTATACAAAGTTTCATGTGAATTGGTTGAGTAGTGTTATAATATTAGTGGGGAGTAGGGATTGTTACCTGAGCAGAACCGAGACCCCTTCGATGGGAGATCCCCGCCACCGGGGCCACGTGTTGCTGCATATCATCTTGTAGCGGGCTAAGAATTGGACGTAGGGCAGACGGTAGCAGTACCCGGAACGCCACACTTGGACTACCGGCAACAGACCGAGATAGCGGACCTGAAAAAAAATTGGGTATTCGGATAAGAATTGTTTTGTGTTCAGTTTATGTCACTGGGTCACTCTGACTTCAAAATGTCTCAATTCGTGGTTTCATCGTCGGAGTTTCTAGATTGATAATAGCCAAAATTCCGATATTTTGGCTGAAATTTTGAGGTGAATTGCAAGAATCAAGCTGAACTTTCGAGATTAACTTCGCAATAATTTGGAAAGATCGGATTAGAAATTTCGGAACATAAATTAAAATTTCGAATAAAGTCTAAATTGAGAGACCAAATTCGGCAGTGGCGTGCAAGCTACACATGTTGTATGGAGATGATCCGACATTGAGCCGTTCCGTTTCCGTAGTGAATCCTGACATGTTGCCTATTCACAAAACTTGATTGCGAATGTTACTAATGATTGTCGCATCATGACATGTCGGCAATAAATCTCCTGTAAATTTCAGTGTGTCGCCAAAATTGTCGCCAGTCGCCAAATTCAATTTAATATCGCATTTCGCCAAAATAAGTAGCCGTAAATGCGATAAATCGCCACACGTGGCAACACTGTGACCCTGACCGTCTTCCGTATGCCCTCTTATAATTTTTGGTAACCGCTCGGATCCCCGGCCGGTGGAAACCAGCCCCGCTCTGCGTCGCCATGGCTCGAGTGTCGATGGCTTGCAGGTCGAAAGTAATGCTTTTTCGCTCCATATGAATTTCTATCGATCAGCGCAATGATTGCTTTGCATTCATTTTAAACGGGATGATTATTTGGTTTATATTAGTTTTTAGTGTACTAGTAGATCTATTTTTATATATAACAAAACATATATCCGCAAAAGAAAATTGTGTAAGAAACTGTGTATCGAAAATTTGTATTTTCCTGGGATAGGCTTTTATGCTTCTATTGTATGCACGCCACTGAAATTCGGTATTTGAATTAGATAGATTTCAAGATCAACAATCGAAACGGGGAAGTTTCCTTCAGATGAATTTTCATAAAATAAGTTCGGAACTCTCCAGTTTTATGTCCACGCTGTACAGAATGGCGACCGATAAAGTCCAAGTCGTTTTCATTTCCAAATTGAAGCAATTTTCGGGGCGGCAAACTGTGACGTACATTCTGGATCTAGACTGAAAATAGCTGATGGTGAAGAATATAGGCGAATAGCTAACGAATAGCTAACGAATGAAAAACGAATGAAACAAATAGAAGAAGTAAAACTGGTGAACAAAAACAAACATAACCCCAAATGCACTCGGAGCATGAATGCAGACGGTAGTTGGCTTCATTCTGACAGGTAATGGTTTTGTTATTTATGCATTGAAATATCTTGAATTGAGCTCGATTCAAAACAAAAATATCATTGAAACAATGAATCAGTATCGGCTACATTCAATGATACTATCCTTCTTAATTTACTGTCATCGGTCAGAACAGAATGAAGCCGACGCCTATGCCTCCTTCCTCTTGTTGTGGCTGTCAGTATTTCGAGTGGTGTGGACGGACTCGAGTATTTGGCGCTGTTGCAAGATATAATCTGCAACTTTCCTAGAAGATAGATTCGTTTTATTAAGGAACGAGTTCATCAGCAAAAAAATGACTGACCAGTTATGAACATTTTGTAATATAACGATAGTGAAATATTATAGATACTATCACAAAATATCATAATTTATCTTTATTAGTATTCAACTTCACTCAGCCAATGAGAGATTTATTGGAATTATTCATAATACTTGACAAAGTAGGATTGAAGAACCTTTTATATCCCATTGCAGTTATGATATAGTTATTATGCATTCAATGAACAATTTCCGGAAATCTAGACATATTGATGGTGTTGGCAACGTCGTTTTAACTTTGTGGGAATGTGGATTTTCAGAAAGTAAGTCATAGGAATGGTGGAGGAGCCAAGTTCCTCTTTTATTCATTTTTTTCTGAAGTGAAATTTGATCTTACGAAAAAAAGGAAAAATACGTATATATTAATTTTTTACAAACTTCACAGTGAGATAAGAACCTCAATATAGGAAAGTTCCCCATTTCGTGGCTACAAATGTCGGTAGTTGCCATAAAAGCATTGAAAAAATATCATCAAACAATACCTGGTGTTGTATGAGCGACATTTCGAATATTCTAGGCTGCTTCAACTCATTAGGCTTGAGACACCTGATGTAATGCGCCTGTCTGTTGCCGAGAACCTTCAAGAGGGAGTTCAAGGACACCTGCAGTTGAAAGGATTTGGAGACAGGCCTTTTAGGGTTGCACCTTTTCGGGTTGCCTTCAGGAAACAAGGCTTGCATCGTCGAATTATCACAACGATACAAAGCCCGAGAAATTTCCCTAGGCAGGCTGTCTCTGTTTTTTTCAATGAATTCGTCCACTTGGTAGGTCACAGTTCCAGCATAATGTCTAATTCTGAAACACAAACAATTCCTTGAGTACTTGAAAGGTTTTCTCCCGCAAAGATCCGCTCTAGGGCCAACACTGTTGACCGATTTATATTCCGAGGATGTGAACGATATACAGGGTATCCCTAAGAAATCTTTACATGAAACTATTTCAAATTGATCAGATCAACACAATTTGATACAAGCAAACTTACCTCAGTACAAAGTTCCTTAGTTTGGGAGCTAGATGACTCTGAAGTTACGATTTTCCAAGGTTAATAGAACTGATGATAATTTGTATAGGCAGGTTGCCTCGATCGATAGTGCGGCAAGGGGGGGAAATGGTCATTCATGACGTCACAGGTAGTAGGATGAAAACCAAATAGTATACAAACTGTTTGGCTGATCTGATCAGCAAGAATCTCTGAACATTCACAACTGGTCTCTAACTATATCTTCTGATCATTTTTCTATATCCATCACCCGTTTGTCCTGAGAATAGTCATATTGGGAATCGCAAACTTCCATATTTATGGTGCTTCTTTTGTTGTATTTGGTATCATTGATGGGATTCCTACCTTGAGTGTTCTTCCCTTTGGTGTGTAATTTAGCAATTCTTCTTGTAGATTCCGTTCAAAATCTTCCGCATCGAAATGGGCAGAACATATTCGCCTAGTTTTGGTATTTTATGAATTAAAATCACGTCCACAAAATTGAATCCATTTCTCACGAATAGACTCATCTTTTTGAGATGAATGGCAACTCAAACTAAATTCACTAGTCTTTTTTATTTTTATGTTCTGGTTCTCACGAAAAGGGATATCCTGTAATGTTCAGAGAACATCGTGAGAACCAAGGGAAATAAGGTAGGAATTGGCATTCTTCTTGAATTTCTGGAGGTTATATGCCTCGGGGAACCCCTCCCTTGGCAATGTGTTACAGAGCCTCGCTGTTCGTTGTATAAACGAGTCTTTGGAAAGAGATGTTCGGCAGGTCTCCAAAGTGACCATGAAGGGGTGCGAAGCCTCAACTCGACGGGTTAATCTCGCGGGAACTGCCTAAGATGGAACAATTGTTGATATTTCAGAGGAGCATCGTCCATCTAAATATCTATGAAATAGTCAGATCGCCAACTTTTCTACGGTGTTCCAGAGAAGTGAGTGAGTATGTGAGCGAGGCATCACCCACGAGACGAATTGCCCTTTTTTGGGCAGAATCCAACAGTGTCAGGGTATGTTTGGGTGCTGCACTCCAAATATGGGAACAATATTCCAGGACAGGTTGGATCTGATAATCGATAGCAATTTGTCTCCTTACAAGTGAAGTACATTGATGACTGGCGAGGGGCAAGGGGTTGGGTGTTTTGGCTGGTTCAAGATTCAGAATTCTGACCACCCTGTATCTGTTCCGATTGAATATCAGTAAATAGTAAATGAAAAGTTGAGATAGGGACATGTGAGCCGTTTTGGCCGATAACGAATAGTTCCGGCACAAACAAATCCTGAATTTGAATAATCTCGATTTTGAACATCCTATATTTCTGTCTGTTCTTCTATCATTCCCGATAGACCCCAAGTTTGATGTATTGATAAAATCAGCTCTCCAGGGAGAATCTAAAAATGCAATGAAATACAGGGTATTCTATTTGACATAACAAAGTTGTTGCCACTTTTTGATAGAAACGGCAACACTGCATTGCTGAAATAACTTCAAATTTAGAGAGCGCATATTCTATAATATAAGCATGCATATTTTCATGTATAGCTTGTCGTGACATACCCTGTATGTTTCGTACCGTTTTTTTTATTTTTTTCGATCGAGGAATACTCTATTCTGATTTTCGTGCTTTCTGTTCAAAAGTGTATTTTTTCAAAATCTCCATCTTTAATAACTGTGATACAGAACGTAATCTTGATTTTGGCAAAATCTTTATCTATGGTCAGGTCATAACTTTTGAACCACTGTGTGTAATCGATTCATACATGGTAGGTATATTCAACTCATATCACTCATCAAAACTAAATAGGAATCGAATTCAGAATCCAGATCTATCTTCAGGCAAAACAGAAAACTTCTTATTTCTCAATAACAACACTCTCTATATTGGAATTTTGTAGATATGTTCTGATATCTGCAAGCAGCAGGAAAAATCAATCGGTCTACTTTTCAACAGTGCGCACCCAATTTGAAGAATAGATTTTTTTTAAAACTCGTAATTCAAAATCCAATTTTATGAAAAAAAACTAACCAGTCCTCAAATTTCAACTTAATTAGAGCTGAATTAGGTGAACTATCGATGGATTTTGTTCCGTAGAATAATTTGTCAATTATTTCAGTTATTTTCGTGTGCTCATTACATTTTCACACACACAAATGTCAAATTTGATGCGAGCTTATAAAAAGTAGGCCACATTGTTCAGTATTCTCATACTCTTTCCAGTTATCAAAACATATCTAGAGATTTTGAGAAAGATTATATTTTCAGCCTGTCTTCAATCAATCAATCAATCAATCAAGACTTTCGAAAATAATACTGTCAGAGTATATCCGTGTTCAATACTTCATCTTATATTTTGTATATTATATATCTTTTCCCCCCGTATAATTTCATCATCATAAGTCATAGATTTAACCTCGTATAATTCCATTACCATCATTAGTCATAGATAAATCATTTTTTGTTCGGAAATTAATCGGTTAGCAGCATGATTCAACTTATTAGTCATACATTCGGGACCAGGTTGTAAATCAAGACAGTCTTAAATTAGATGTTATCACGTAGGGTCGAATTTTGTGATCGACATCGAAAAATACGCGACAGGAATTATTTATCGTTTCAAACTGAGTGTTCCCTAAAAACTGAGTGATCGTATTGATTCGTATATAGTGTTTTTGTATTCCTCAATCGATTCTATAATGATAATATCGGGATCGTGTGTGTTCTAGTGTTTCGTGTTGTTCTATCAAAGCCTCACTTTTTTCACGCTGGTGAGTGCAGAGAAATTCTCTCAATTTCTCCCCATATTTTTCTGTATTCATTCAACTTCATTACCCTATACAGTATATTTTGGTATACGCTCTTTTCATTTAAGATATTATGTTCGCCAATGCAGTGAGGCCGCTTCTACTAAAAAGTAGTAGCAACATTGATATTTCGAACGGAACACCCTGTATTTTATCACATTTCAAGATTCTCCCTGAAGAGCTGATTCCATCGATGTATCATATTTGGGGTCTATCGAAAATGATCACAGAGATATAGGGTGTTCAAAATCGATATTTTTCAACTTTAGGATTTTTTTGTGTCGAAAATATTCATTATCGGTCGAAACGGCTCACATGTCCCTATCTCAACTTTTGTTTCACTATTTACTGATATTTAATCGAAACAGATACAGGGTGGTTCAAGATTCAGAATTCTGATCACATGCATATTTTCATCGATTTCTCCCGACTGATTCTCGATATTGAGATAGTGTAAGCTCGTCGTGACATACCCTGTATGTTTCGTACCGTTTGTTGTATTTTCTCCGATCAAGGAATACTTTTTTATGATTTTCGTGCTTCCTGTTCGAAACTGTATCTTCCAAGAATTTACCATCTTCAATAACTGTGATACAGAACGTAATCTTGATTTTGGCAAAATCTTCATCTATGGTCAGGTCATAACTTTTGAACCACCGTGTATATTCGATTCATACTTGGTAGATATATTCAACTCATATTTCTCATCAAAACTGAATATGAATCGAATTTAGAATCCACATCCGTCTTCAGGCAAAACAATAGTTATTTATTATACAAGGGAAAAAAGTAGTAGATTTTAGCTCCAGGTTGTGTTGTCTCCCGACGCGTAGCGGAGGGAGACAAAAAACCGTGAGCTAAAATCTAATATTTTTCCCGTGTATAATACACTATTTTTTTCTGTGACAGAAGGAAGGACGAATCAATATTGAGAAGATATTACATTATTTCGAAATCTGAAAATTATCGACGTGAAATTTCAAGTTTTAAACAGTAGGGACACCTGCGTTTTATAGGCATCTTCATCATTCTTTTGAAGTAATCAAATATCTGATGTCACTTCTGTCAGTTCAATTCTGTGATTTGATTTTAAAAAATTGCGAATTCAGTAGTTATTCAGTAATATACGAAACCGCGAAGTCGAATGGAAGATAAAAGGACTTGCAGTTCTTTCTCGGAGACGGTATTATTGACTCATTTTTCGGAACTATAGCACAACAAAAGCCATTAACAGAGTATATATATGTGATATATATCCGGGAAAGAAGTACTCACTTTTTTCCCACGGGAAAAAAGTAATTTATGAAAAGTGACATTTTATAACCTGCCAACAGAGATGAAATGCCAAACTTTTTTCCCGTCACAGAAAAAAAAACTTTTTTATTGAACTCGTTATTCAAAAAATCCAATTTTACTACAAAAAAATAACCAGTCCTCAAATTTCAACTTAATTAGAGCCGAATTAGGTGAACTATCGATGGATTTCGTTCCATAGAACAATTTTTCAATTATTTCAGATATTTTCGAGTGCTCATTACATTTTGCACTCTTGAATTTTTGTACGTAGATTCATATTCCGAAATTATTTATTTTAGTATTGTCAGTAATTTTATATACATATATATTAGTTTTTGTGATTGTTTAACACCGGAGTTCCTTCATTTCATTCATTTTTATATCTATCCATTCTGATTATTTTGTATATAAATATTTTACACTCTTGAATTTTTGTACCTACTTAGTTTTATATTCCAAAATTATTAATCTTAGTATTTTGAATAATAGCTCGTCAAACGAAATTCATACTTTTTCACCACATACAAGCAGCATTTGTTGCTTCTGTGGGTTTTCTAATGTTTATTTACCTAATGTTAACTTGCTATCATTATTTCTTCCATTGTATTCTGATTCTGTCGAAATAAACATATTATTATTATTATTATTATACCAAATGTCAATTTGGATGCGCGCTTATAAAAAGTAGACCACATTGTTCATTATTTT